GGCCATGGATGAGGAAGTCATAAAAGGTGAGGCCAGACGGCGAGAGCCGGGCTGGCGGAGTCACTAACAGCTTCTCAGCGACGTGGTTAGGAGCACTGGCCTCGCCCTGGCTGGTCTGGCTCAGTGATGGAGTGTCGGCCTGTGGACTGGAGGGTCCCAGATTCAATTCCGGACAAGGGCACATGCCTGGGTTGTGGGCTCCATCCCCAGTGTGGGGGAGAGGGGGCGAGCCTTGCAGCAGGCAACCAATCAGTAATTCTATCTCATCATTGATGTTTCTATCTCTCTCTCCCTCTCCCTTCCTCTCTGAAACCAATAAAAACATCTTAAAGAACCCTGGCCTAGAAGCCCAGCAGCCGGGGTTCAACTCTGCCTTTGTCCCTCGGGCAATTGCCTACCCTCGCTGAGCCTCAGTTTGCCTCTCTGGGCAATGGGCTGCTTGAGGACCACCCAGGGCTGTCATTTGCCCAGGGAACCCTGAGTCCCGGACCTCCTTCTGGCAGGAGGAGGGCTCTCAGAATACAAAATGCTGGGCCTGCGCCCCTCTTCTCTGCTGAGGTGGTGGCACTCTGGTTTCACCGTCCGGCGGGAGGTGGGCATGCCTCTGGGTGGTGGTCTAAGATCAGGGCCGGAAAACCTGGCTCAGAATCAGGAAAGCCCAGCCCCAGGCCTGGGCTCCCCTCATCGTGTTGGCCAAGTCACTCACCCTCCCCAGCCTCACTCACTCCTCTGCTGGAGAGGACAATGTCAGGAGCACTCAGGAAGTTCTGGGCGCTCAGTGGCTCTTTCGGAGGCTAAGCTCCCCAACATCGGGGACCCGCTGGATTTTTACAGAAAATGACCCGTCACCGTGACCACCTGGGGACGATGGGTCCTGGGCCGGTTTAGAACAGGTCCCAGCCGGGGGTGGCCCGTAAGGTCGGAAGGCTGCTGGCTGCTGGTTTAGAAGCTGCTTTTGTCCCCAGGGAGGCTGGCACCTCAGCAGCCTCTGTCGCCACCAGAGCAGCTCCTTGGGTGCCTGAGTCTGCGGGAGGCCAGACGGAGACGCGGAGGGACAGGCGGCAGCGTTGGTTGGGGTGCTGGGAGAGGCTTCACCCAAGTCTGTTTACAAGACCGGCTGGGCGTGCACACACACACACACACACACACACACACACACACTTTTCTTAAATGTAAAAATTCCACCAGACAGATCTGCAATGTCAATCAACACTTAACAAACCCATAAATACATACTTTTAAATCTCAATTCCATTTTTCCACCTGAAATATCACCCCCACGTCCATCTAGGCACCCCCGGCTGCTCCATCGATTGTCTGCATCGGACTCCCGGCATCCCTGCTGTGGGCCCTCCGCGGCCTTCCTCGCGCCCGGAGTGCGGAGAGGTCGGATGGAAGGGAAGTCTCTGAGCCTCACGCGCAGGCCTCCCACCCAGAGAGAGGCCACAGGGGCCGCACAGCCAGGCGGGAGCACTGTCCCTGGGACCCGGAGGCTCGCCCTCCCTCCAGCCGCCATGTGACATGGACATGCTTTGGGCACACAATCCTATTTCCTTTAATCCCCAGAGGCTCTTAGCATCTTCTCTTTACCCCTGGTTTTCCAAAATGTCATGATAACAAGTTTCTAGGTTGAGGCTTGTAGTCACTGTGCCAACTATCAGGAGGGTTTTCCCACCTAAAAATTCAGTCTATCATTGGGGACTTTGTTTTTGATCATCCATGCCTCCTTCTTTATCCATACTCTCCATGTAGGAGCAATAGGGCTTATCAATTAAGCCTGTAAATTTTTCACCTTGTTATTGTCCATTTTATAAACAAATATTTATCTACTATCTGGAGAAAATTTTCTTGTTGTCTTCTAATTCTCCTATGATTTTTTTTTCCTTCAAATTTCAGCTTTTATACTTATAATGTCAAGGAGTTTCTCCTCATTTCCTAAATTTCCTCTTTTTCTTCTTCTTCTTTTTTCTTTTCTTTCCTTTCTTTCTTTCTTTCTTTCTTTCTTTTTTTTTTTTTTTTTTTTTTTTTTTTTTTTTTTTTTTTTTAGCAAACCATTCTTATTTCCTGGTTGTGATTTATACTTTTCTCTTTGGAGGATGTTAATGACAGAGCTTTGGTGTTTTCTACTGTTCACTGCATTTTTTTAAATTTTTATTTTATTTTATTTTTTTAAAAATATATTTTATTGATTTTTCGCAGAGAGGAAGGGAGAGAGATAGAGAGCTAGAAACGAAGATGAGAAACATCGACTAGCTGCCTCATGCACAACCCCTACTGGGGATGTGCCCACAACCAACGTACATGCCCCTGACCGGAATCGAACCCGGGACCTTTCAGTCCGCAGACCGACACTCTACGGCTGAGCCAAACCGGTTTCGGCTGTTCACTGCATTTTTAAAAATTGATTTTAGAGAGAGAGGAAAGTAGGGGAGAGAGAGAGGGAGGGAGAGAGAAACATTGATTTGTTGTTCCACTTGTTCATGCATTCATTGGCTGCTTCCTGTATGTGCCTGCCCAGGATGGGACTATAACCTTCACGTCTCGGGATGATGCTCTAACCACTGAGTGCCCAGCCAGGGCCACATTTTCTCTAGTTCCTCATAATTCCTCTCTTACGTTTGTTCGCTTTCTGTCTGACCTTCAAGTTGGAAGTGTATCTCAAATGTCTTGTGAAATATCTTTTAAAATAAAATCTGAGTAGGTTTTTTTTTTTCTTTCTTTCTGTAATTTACAGGCTACTTGAAGACCCCAGACCTGCCCACCACGCACACTCCCCAATTTAAAGCTGCATATGCCCACCAATAGCACCTTGTCCCCCCCCAAAATCCTGTGAAAGAGGCATTCTTGATGTTGTGCAAAGTAGGAACAGACACACAGAGAGGGTTAAATGACTGGGCATCCACACAAATCCATGGAGTGACTCCACTCCATGACTGCCCTGAAATGAAGTGCCTCCTTTTTCCTTCAATAAAGAAAGCCTATCCATGCTTAGGAACCCCAGGAAGAGGCTCCCAGCCCCCTTCCTGACGTGGACACTGGGTTTCCGCCAGCTCAGCACCCTTCCTTCTCCTTCCTGTGGATGAGGTCCACGTGGATGACCTCACTTCTCCATCACATCAGTTAATCAGATACTCCATTCTCCCTGATTGGTTCAAGAATCAGCATGTGATCCATGCTCAACCAATCAGAATCTTCCCAGGGACATTCTGCCAGCAGTATTTGGCTTGATGAATTCTCTTTCTAAGTGGGCAGGCCATAAGCCTGGGGTGACTGGTGGCCACAATAATGTTTGAGCCCCTGGACCCCATCATTCCTGAATTGAGATATTCCTTGGTTTCCCAATTGTATGAGAGAATAGATCCCCCCCCCCCTTTTTTTTAAATATATTTTATTGATTTTTTACAGAGAGGAAGGGAGAGGGATAGAGAGTTAGAAACATTGATTAGCTGTCTTCTGCACACTCCCTACTGGAGGTACATGCCCTTGACCAGAATCGAACCTGGGACCCTTGGGTCCCCAGGTCGACGCTCTATCCACTGAGCCAAACTGGTTAGGACTCAGATTCCCTTTTTTTTTTTTTTTTTTTTAATTATTTTAAAAATACCTTTTTTATTGATTTCTGGGAGAGGGAAAGAGAGATAGAAACATCACTGATGAGAGAGAATCATTGGTTGGCTGCCTCCTGCACACGCCCTACTGGGGATTGAACCCACAACCCAGGCATGTGCCCTGGACTGGAATTGAACCTGGGGCCCTTCAGTCTGCAGGCACTGAGCCAACCCAGCCAGGGCCAGGTTCCCTTTCTGAAGCCCAGGTGAGCTAAGTTTCTGTCACCTGCAGCCCAGACGCTCTGAGATTACCGCCAGACTCTCTTTCTGGCCTAAGCCCCTGCTGGGCCCGCCTGCGATGAGTAGGGAAGCTAGGGTGAGAAATTAGAATTGCCTTTGTGAGCAGGTGATGGAGCTTTTGAAAAGCACTTCTAGCTCATGGGGTAAATTCCCCTCCCCCCACCCTCTTACCACCCCCTTCCAACTTCTGTGCACACGAAGGGTGAGGGAGGGTGGGAGAGCCGGGGACGGGCTGGGGGCGGACAGGCGTAACCGTTCTCCGCGCTAACGGCGCTGGCTGATTCTCTTCCCGAGGAGACCAGAGTCGACCTTCACCTCAGTCCCCATTAACTGCCGGCGCTTCGTCAGCATGTTTGTGACAAATTAATTACACGGAGAGAAGCCTCGTCGGAGCAGCTCTGGTGTGGGGGCCAGGCTGAGCTCTGCGATGCTTTCTGATCGTGCCGACAAGGGCCTGGTTAACCACAGACCTCGGGCAGACCTGGCGGCGAGCTGTGGGTTTTCCGCTCCCCACGGAGGCCCACAGAGCCAGGAGCCATGAGCCAAAGCCCAGGCCAAGCCCTCACACCTGGCAGCATGTCTGCAAACCGGGTAGCCAGTGCGAGAGTGATCTGGGGGCCCGGGCCACCCTGCTGGCCCAGACAGCTCTGTCCCCAGAAGGCTGGGCAGCTCCAGCCCATGGGAAAGACCCCCAGGCCTCAGCGAACCCAGGACTTCCGGGCTCCCTGGAACCCCGGTGCAGGCAGCTGGGCTCCTTCAGAGCGCCCTGTCCCGCCCAAGTCCCAGGCCCGCCTGGTCCGGCTCATTTCCCTCCTCCCCCACCCCCCGTGAGAAGGCCAGGCCTGAGTGAGGAGAGAGGGGCCGATGTGAAGTGGCCCAGTGGCTGCGGGGAGTGCGGCCGGACCCTGGGGCTGCCGGAGCACCTCCCATCAGCCCTCCTGCTCTCTGCTCCCCAGGTCCTGGGGCCGCACCGCAGACCCAGCCTTGACCCAGCCCCGGGCTCGCTCATGCTGGCCGCGCCCGGAGGCAGGAGGTTGGCAGTGACACAGTCTATAGGACACGACTGTGCGGGCGAGGGGCGCTGGGGCGCTGGCTCCCTCCCGGCCTCGTCTGCCTTCAGCTTTTCCCGGACTCCGCAATGTGGCCGTCCACTCAGAGGCTGTCCTCTGGGGCCTCTGAGTCCCGGTTTCCAAGAGTCATGGCTTCCAGGTGGGCGGTGAAGGCGGACAGGTCGAGGTCAGCAGGGCCAGCGCCCTCCAGGGACGTGCCTCCGGGCTCCGCAGCTCCGGGCCAGGATGCTGGAAGAGACCAGAGGCTGTGAGTACCTTGCCTCAGTGGCCAGACCATGGATTCCCTGGGGACTGCGACAGGAGCTCCCTGCTTCCCACCCCCTTGCTCTGCCCGCCCTGTATCCATGGAGGCTGAAGTCCAGTAGCTGATGGAGGTGCCCCTTCAGGGACCAGCTCACTGCAGCTGAGTCCTGACCTTTCCTGGGCCTCCTGGCTCCTCAGGACCCTCCCTCCTGCTCCCTGGACGGGTCCCCCTTGTCCGAGCCTCGGGGCCTTTGCACTGCTGCTCCTTCCCCCTGCAATGCCGCCTTCAGAGCCCTCAGATCTCCACGTGGCTGGCTCAGGGGCCTCGGCCCAGAGCCTCCCCCGCCCGGAGCAGGCAGCCCTGCAGCACGGCCTGCCCTGCGGGCCCCAGGCGGTGGCTGTCCTGCCCCGCCTGGCTCTCAGTGGAAGCGTCATTGCCTTGTGAGCTGTCTGCTCCCCGGGCCCCTGGGCCCAGAGAGGAACATTTGTCTGTTTTGCTCGGTGCTGTGCCTCCAGGTGACGGGCCGGACCCACTGCTGCCCCCCCTATCTGAGAGGTGGACGAGGTGCAGCACCCCTGTTTCCTGAGAAGAACCCCGGGACTGAGCGACTGAGGCCGGGCCGGGGAGAACGGGAGGGACGTGCTCCGGGAGGCTCCCCACCTCACCCGGCCTCGTGGCCATGACGCTCTACCCCGCTTTCCGGAGGCAGGACTGCTGAAGAAATGAATGAGAGGGAGAGGGAGAGGGAGAGAGGGAGAGAGGGAGAGAGGGAGAGAGGGAGAGAGGGAGAGAGGGAGAGAGAGAGAGAGAGAGAGAGAGAGAGAGAGAGAGAGAGAGAGAGAGAGAGAGAAGGACTCTCAGGGCCACCAGGGCCCAGGCTCACCTGCGTCCTCGGCCGGCTGCCCTGGGTGCCCGCGGCTGGCCCCTGGCGCTGCCCCTGCCCCGAGGCCGGCCGGCCACGGGCGGACTCTCAGGCTGTTGCCGCTGCCGATGGCGGATTCCTCCAAGAGGCAGGACTTGATGAAGACTCTCTGGGCCGTGTCGCCCTCCTCCTCTCTCTGGGCTGCGTCGCCCTGCCCCTCGGGGTGAGGTCCTGGGGGGGGCATTCGAATTTCGAACGAAGATCCTGGGCCAGCAGTGGCGGCAAAGACTGTGGGTCAGTCCGAGAGAGGCGGGAGGGGGGTGAGCAGTGGGGCCGCCAGAGCCAGACCCCAGCCTGGCTCTCAAGCCCTCCCTGCACTGGCGCCCTGGCCCCACGCCCTGGCGCCTCTGCGGCCTGTCTGGGCTGCAGGCTCTGACCTCTGCCCCCAGGGGGCAGTGTGGGTCCCACCTCCTCCTGCCACCTAGCTGCCTGGTCCTCCATCCTGTGCCTGGGACTCAGCCACCCGCTCTGGCCTCCCTCCCTCCTCCCTGCCTCCTGCCCTCCTCCCCTCCATCTCCGGCCCTCCGCCCCTGCCCAGAAGCTCTAGCACAGCACCTCCAGCTTTGGTTAAAATGTTCTCAAGGCCCCAGCCCGGCCTGCCCCCTGCCATCCTGCTCCTGCCGGTCCCACCCAAACTTCGGAAAAGACTGTCCACACTCAGCTGCCTCCTCTCACTCCCCACATCTCTGTCCCTTGGGTCACCGCTGACCCCAGTGGTGGCCCCATGCAGCTCCTCAGGCCTCACTGAGCTCCCCCTCTGGAAATCGCGTCCCTGGCTCCCCTCCCCGCAGCCTCTCTGCTGGCTGTCTCCCCGCCTGCCTCTGATTCCCGTCACCATCGACAGTGCTTGTTGGGCACCAGGTACTTCGGTAGCTCCTGTCCTCCACCTCCCTAGATGCCATCCCAGTCGGCCATCTCTTCTGTCCCCCCGCCAGCTGCCCCGGCCTCTTGTGCTGCATGCCCATTGTACAGATGCAAACACTGAGGGGCGTAGTAGGGCCAGGAGCCCAAGTACTAGTTCTAAAAGCCCCACCTGCTCCACTCTGGTGGGTGGAAAGGAATTTCCCATCATGCCTCTCTCCCTGCAAAGACTGGCGTAGGTTCCATCCATTGAGGAGCGAGTGGGGTGGGGTGGGGCGCATGGCTGCATGACCCCCAGTTACCTGGGGGGCTGGGGCTGGGGCCAGGGCCCGTGGCCGGGGCGCCGAGCAGGGTCATCTCGTTGCCGTGTCCCAGCTGCACCCGTCTGAGCACAGAGTTGTCTATGTGGATGTTCTGCGGCCCCCAGGGTCCAGCCGGGGGCTCCTGAGCATGGGGACTCGCTGCGGGCGGTGGAGGGAGGCAGAGGGGAGCCGCGGAGCCTGGCAGGAAACACAGCACATGAACTCTGACCCTCCCTACACCCCCACACAGAGTGCTGGCCGGGCGAAGGCGGAGGGGACAGGCCTCCTGACTCTTCCTGGCTCCATGGGAACGGTGGGCCCCGCGGGACAGTCGGCACGGGGCCCCCAGGGTTTGGGGTGTCACTGGGGCACTCGAAACCCAGACAGTGAGCCCACCCTCCACCTCCTCGTCGCCGCAGCCCTCGGGGCCCTCGGGAGAAAGTCCCTCTGGTGTGAGCGCGTCTAACCGGCTCGGAGCCCCCACGCTTCTCTCCGAGTTCCTTCCTGGTTTCCCCCGTGAGGTGACGCTGCACAGATTTACTCGGAAGTGCATTTAAGCAGAATGAGAGGGAAACCCTGTAACTCTGTGTAACATGGAGTCCGCTGTCAGACGCGGCACAACCGGAATCCAGGGCGGCTCGGAGGATCGACGCTGGGCAAACGTCGCTCTAGATTTCCAGACAAAGTCCTCCTCCATCTCACAGTTGGGGAAACTGAGGCCCAGAAGGGGGAAGGGTTCTCTAGAGGTCGCAGGGAGTGTTCCCGCTCGGGCTGAAGCTCTCGCTGTGTCCCACGCTGGGCTGAGGGGTGGCCTGCCCCCTCTCCCGGGGGCCCGCAGGGCCGTGTATCATCGTAAGTAGGCACCGCTGGGGAGACGCCTCCCAGGGTTGGAGGGTGATGACGCGGAGAAAACCGCGTGGCTCGGAATAAACGCTGCCGTGACCCCGTGCCTCCTGCTGAGGAGAGTGACCTGAACTGCTTCTCACGGGGAGCGATGGGGCCTCCTGGAGCGTGAGGCTATCAGTATTGGAATGAGAGGGAATCAGGAAGGGTTTGATCCAGGCACGAGAAAGACGTCCCCGTTCTCGGAGACCAGGAAGGAGGACCGTGGTGATCTGAAAGCCGCCCTTTCTCCTCAGAGGGTGGATTGCCCCGGCCCTCCACAGCGTCTCTGGAGGACTCACCGCTCTCCGCAGGGGCCACGTGCTTCACGATGCTGTTCCCGTGTCCAATCTGGACGGCTTCGGAGTTCCCGATGGAGATGTGGCTGTGCGGCCCGCTCTGGCAGATGGTGACGGCGGTTTGCTGGTAAAGGATGGTGGAGGGCTGACTCCCTCCCCTGGGAGTCCCTGTGGAAGGACACGCCACTCAGCCCCTCCACACCTCCCCACGGAGCAGGGCTCCCCTGCCCCCAGGCACCATGGCTCCTGGCTAGCCCGGACGCAGAGTCCCGTGCCCGCTGGGGCTGAGTCTGGAGCCCAGCTGGAACTGCATGTCTGACAAATGCCACCGGCATCTCGGATGACGCTCCCTGGATAGCGTCATGGCAGGTCACCCTATCTGAGTGTCCTCTGCTCCCTGAGAGGGTGGGGGAGCGTCCTGCTCACCCTGCCCTCTGCCCTTCTCCCTTCGAGCAGCCACACGCTGGCCGTGAGCGCCCCTGGCCAAGGCTAGGGCTGTCCACAGGCTGCTTGTGGCCACCAGAGAGCTTTGCTTGCCTCCCAAGGCATTTTTAAGAACTTGCCTTCGTGATTTACAATCTGGCTGCTGTCACATTAAAAATATTATTTTAATTAAAAAATATTTTTTAATTACATGTTACGACTGCATTAGGATAAAGACATATAATCTAGGCGGGAGTCGTTATTACGATTATAACATTCACTTTTTTCTTCTGGTTGTAAGAGAAAGGAGGACATTTCCGTGGGCCTGTAAAAGGCTGTGGGTTCTATGCCTGCGGCTGCTGCACCTGGAGGATAAGGCGCCCTGGGACCCCGCCCCCCGCTATCTAGCCCAGCCCGGTCTCCCTCAGCAATGCCAACTCCAAGTTGGGCCAAGTGCCCACAGAAAACTGCCAGCAACCAGCCCTGCGCCCAGGCCAGCACAATCAGGAGTACCCGCCCCTCCCAGCTCCTGGCCTTCTGCAAATACAGCCTCGGGCCCCGCCTCCAGGAAGCCCTCCCTGGTTACTCCCCCGCTGTGCGTCATGCTCCACCCTCCTGGAACCCCTTCCAGTAACTGGTGAGCAAGACAAGTGCAAGCTTCTGGAAGATTCTGAAGGTGGAGCAGGCAAGAAACACATGTTGAATGTCTTTCCCTGCCCTGCCCAGGTGTGGGAGCACATCAGGGCCTACCTGGCTGGTAGATTTCCCAGTTGTTTGACTTCTTGTCCAAGTTCAGCAGGTGGTCTCTCTGCATGCCATACAGGTATGGGTTGACCTCTCTGGACGCGTTCATCCCCAGGGCCCGGGCGATGCTCACGGCCCTCATGGGCCCCCGGTCGGCCAGTAGTCTGCGGATCTGTTCCTGCACCTGCACCGGCCCTGTGGGAGGCAGGCGGCGGGTGGCTAAGGAGGCCTCCGGAGAGTGCCCGCTCCAATACTGACTATAGCCACGGCCCCTCTGAGCCCATCCTCGTCCACCGGACGCGCGTCATCACCGTGCCCAGCGAGGCTGTCCTGGGCCGGGGATGGGCACCGAGCCTCCGGGCACACCTGGCACACGGGGCTGCACAGTGATGGCGGCTCTCCACCGGAGACATCGATTCTCGGGCAGTTAGCTTCTCCCGCGCAGAGCCTGAGCTGCCTCTGGGGGCCTTGTGGGACCCTCTCAGTGGGGTGCGAGGGACTCTCACAGCACCCCCTGTGGCTGAGGAGAGCTGGAGGTCAGAGGAAAGGGCCCCTGTCCCAGGAGCTGCAAAGAAGCCAGTCACCAAGCGGAGAGCCCGGTTTCTGGGACTTGCACCTGCTCCTTGCAGGGGCCCCTCTGCCAGAGAGAGACGGCCAGGGGTGGCGGGGCGGGAAGGGGACAGGCCTCCACGAAGCCAAGGCGGCTGGGACACTGGGTCATGAGCTCTGGCCCTGCCCTGTCTCCTTCCCGCTGTGCGGTGCCCTGCTGCCTACCTTCTCTGGGAAAAGGGGGTGAGTACCGCCTCTTCCCAGAGCGCCCGGGCCCATTGTGAGTACCTGACAAGTGTCAGCTCTTTCGGTCTGTGGGCTACAGAATTGGCTAAGGGGATCTCGTGTGATGTGAACTTGGTTCTATGGTCATCACCATCGTTGTCATCGTTCCTTTCTGATGTTATCGTACTTTGCTGAGCACCTACTATGTGCTGGTGCCAGGCTGAACCCTTTGCCTCTAATCCTCTGGAAACCCCACGATGCAGCCCTGCTCCTGTCTCCATTGGCCGGAAGAGGAAGGGAGGCAGGATGAGGGGACAGTATGCACCCCAAGGGGCAGAGCCTGTATTCACACCGAGGCCCCAATCCAGGCTTGTCCGTTACCAGGACTGCTGGTGCTGGGTACCCCCCCCCCCCCCCCAAGGTTGGCAGTTACCAAGGCTGAGCTGGGCGGGTGCTGTGGGAACCAGTGCTCCAGCCCCACCCTCTCTCAAGCACCACGTCCCAGAGCCAGCGTCATGCACTTGCAACTTCTCCTTCATCCGGTAGAGAGCTTGGTTGATGTTCCTCTTGGGCACTTTGCATTCCTTTGCCAGCTGGGCAGCCTTCATAGGGCTGCCAGCATTCTTCAGCGCCTGCAGGATCCTCTGATCAAGGTCTGGGAGAGGAGAAAGGGGCAGGGAGAGGACTGAGTGCCAGGGTGGAGCCTGGGCCAGAGGCTCTGGGGTAGGGGAGGCCACGGGGGAGGGCCCGGGGCAGAGCCCGAGCAGCCACCCACCAAGGACACTTCTGTTCAGTGAGGGCTCATGGGCTGATCAGAAACGGCCTTGGCTGGACAGCCTGATGGCCAGAGGAGTGGCCAGGCCTTCCAGTAGCCTCCACTCGCTGAGAGTGGCCAGAAGACAGGTGGGCACTGAGCTCTCAGGGGGCCTCAGAGCAGAGGGGCACGGAGTGAGGGCAGAAGAGCAGGAGAAGGGGGGCGGGGCAGTGGGCCAGTTGCCACTCTGTTCCCAGATCCCAGCCACCTCCTCCCTTCAAAATCTGCCCTCCTGGGGCCCGCCATCCCTGCCTGTGTGGTCTGCCCTGGGAAGGCCGTTCCTGGCTCCCGTGAGGCCCCTCATCTCCTCCTCTCTGCTTCCGCCTCCTCGGGGCAGGATCCCCCAAACCACGGGGATATGAGTTCAGGATGCGGAGGGCGCTGTGGGCGGCTGCCCCACCCATCAGCAGGAAACCTGGACCCCAGGAGCCCCGAGGGAAATGCAAAGCAGGGCCCTGCTCGGGAAGCCAGGTCCCCTTCTGGGGAGATGACCCCAGGCCTAGCGGCTCCTCTGCCTGCTGGTCTCTCTAGCTCTGCGGCGGCAGTGCTAGCGGGGATGGACCATCCGGTTCCGGCGCTGCAGCCCGGGCTGCAGCTCGCCTTTGTCACCACGTTTTCATCTGCCGGCAGGTGAAGCGCAGCTAGGAAATCTGGGGGTGCCCACTCCTTCGCCCCAACTCTACCCCAAGCAGTCATCAGCCACCAGAAATCCTCGTCCAGCCAACCACACACGGGCTCTGCTTTGTTCTGAAAAGAGTTTTGATTCTTGAAAAGCCGGCCCCTGGTCAGCCTCCCCCTGACCCCTCCTCCCTGACTGCAAAGGCCAGTGAAGGGATTGAGCCCCCAGCACCTGAGGCTGTGAGATGGACGAGGTACAAGCAGCCGTGATGAGGAAAGGAAGCCCCAGAGAAGTAGCACATGGTTACCCAGTGCCCCTGACAGGTACCTGCATGTCTCCCTGGGGAGCTGACAGGAAGCTGGGCTACACCCTGCCCTCCCCTCCCTGCACCCCTTTGCCTCCTTTTTGTTCTCTGAGGCTGGTTCCCCAGCTCTGCCGCCTACTGGCTGTGTGACTCTGTGCCTCAGTTCACCACCTGTGAAGTGGGGTAATAGCAGCTACTTCCGAGATTATGGTGAGGATGAAATGAGCTAATGAGAACAGAAACAACTAAAAGCCAAAACCCCACTGCAACCCGCAGCCCCCAGGGCACCCTGGAGCCCGGCGATGGCTCAGGGCTGGCCCTTCCACTGGAGCCTCGGGCGGAGCTCTCAGAGGGAGAGGCAGCCGGAAATGTGTGTCTCATCGTGTCTTATCGTAGTGGCTTGTGCTGCTCTCAAAATGAGTGTGAATACGGCACTCAGCATCAGCCGACGCCCTGAGGTTTGGCCTCTCGGGGCCTCGGTGGTCTCATGTGTGAAATGGGAACATCGCGGTGCTCAGCACTGAGGTTCCTGTGAATGTATGGGGCATGGGCCAGGCACTCTCTTCCTGGGCGCCATGTCGATATCACTGCTATAATCAGGCTCTCTCCCCCCCCCCCCCCCCCCCCCCCCCGCCCAGGTCCCCACCATCCCTGGGAGGGAGTACTAGTACCTGCCTCGTCGATGTCTGCAGAAGCCTGGGCCATGCTGACAGCAGCGGCTAGGGGCCCGGGGAGATCTGGGGGCCTTGAGAAGGCGGGCTGGTGGAGGCTGGCCTCCCTTCGAGGCCGAGGCTGGGGCTCCCGGCAGCTGTGGCAGGAGGCTGGCTGCACAGGCGGCACCAGCTGTTTATACCCCGGAAGCGGGCCTAGGGAGCCGGAACTGATCGGCAGTGTGGAGAAAAAGAAAATGAAACTGTGTGTGGCTTTCGAAGGAAATGATATCGAAAGAATTGATAAGTAAGAGGAAGTGGGCTAGCTGCTGGAACTAGAGTAACTTCCGAGTGCCCACCGATGCCCACCCTGACCCTCCACACACAGGCTGGGACACTGGGTGCCCACGATCATGTACACTTCAAAATGACAGCTCTCTTTAGTGAGCACCTACCGTGTGCTTTCAAACCTCATGGGCCCCTCCAACTCACCGACAGGGTAGGGACTAGCACTGGCCTCTTTCTCAGAGGGAAACTGGGCTCTGGTCAGTGCGGCCACTTGTTCAAGGCCACAGATGTGCCTGGGCCCTAACCCAGCCCCTCCCCACCCACACGCCTACTGGCTCTGTGACCCTGGGCGAGTTGTTTAAACCTTTCTGTGCCTCCGTGTGCTTCCAGCTTCACTTACAGTCACGAGCACAACTGGACACCCGCATGTTCCAGGCGCAACACCCCATCGCTTTCCTAAGTGACCCCCAAGCAGTCCAGAGCCATGGTTCTCTTTCAGGTCACAGAGGGGAAACTGAGGCCCACAGAAACAAGGGGTGTTGTGTGAGGCAGCCAAGGGGGCCAAGAACTCAGCCCCGGAAGCCCCTGGGGCCGAGGTTCAGCACAGAGGCCTGGGCGGGCCGGCAGGCGGACATGGCCACTCCCTCGGGGCACTCCCGGTCAGCCTTGCTGCCAGCACAGGGGTGAACAGCGATGCAGGAGGGGACGGGCCCGCGGCTCGCCCAGAGGCTGCCTTCGCAGAGCAAGCAGCAGTCCCGGTCCCAGTCCCCAGCACATCCACCAGCTCCCACCTCTGGGGCGGGCCGGGGTCCCAGTGATGGCATTGGCAGGGTGCCGTGTGGAGAGTGACCACTCACTAAAACCTGGGAGCCGCAAAGCCGGGTGCTTTCGTTCTCTTTCACGTAAAACCGAAGATTCACATAGCTCTACATGAACTGACGACATGGACTTTAAATGCAAGGTGGTTACGGGTGTTGAGGAAGATTGTGGGAAGGGCCATGGATGAGCCACAGTGGATGCTGGGAGGCTCTGTGCCGGGGCCAGCCACCAGGTGGCGCCCGCTCACCAACCCGGGCGCGGGGGCCCACCTCCGCCTGGTCCCTCTGATTGAGGGAGGACCTCCCACCCATCGTCTCCCCAGGGAAGAGCTGGCCTGACCTCGGCCTCTCTTATCAGGCTCCTTAACTCCTCCCAGGGTGGAAGCTGCAAGCCCAGGCCTTGGCTGCAGGCATGGTGACCCAGCACTGCCTGCTGGCCTCCTGGGCTTGCAGGCCAGGCGGAGGGCGGGCTTCGCCCTGAGGGTCGGTTGGCTTCTGGAAGGACCGCTTGTGTCTCAGTGGTGATGGCTGGCCACTGGGCATTGTATGGATGGCCCTTCCCGTCCCCTCTGCCTCGTCCTGAAGCCACGTGTGACCTCACCCCGCTCTCTGAGTGGCCCCTGAACCTGCGTCAGGAGCCACCACGCGGGAAAGGCCAGGCGCCTGGGAGTGCCGCCTGGGCAAGGACTCCGTCTGGCCTTCTTCTCCAGGGCGGGCCCTGCCTCTCGCGGGGGTGGAGGCGGGGGTCAGGGCGCCCTGAGTCTCAGTTTCTCCAACGGTGAAACAGAGATACTAAAGAAGAAGAAGCGTGTCTGTATGATACTCGGTAGGTCCTCACACATTGGAAAACGTGCTGGATGCCTCTCTGCCAGGTAACCGTGGGCACTAGGCAAAAGAAAAAAAAAAGGTGCGAGAGAAAGAGAAAGAAAAACAATTAACATGTGTGGGTTCCAACTTCCCTCGCTCTCACAGCACGTCTAGAATTCAGGGGATCCATGTGCCTGCTGTGAGGGTCTTGCCGCACTGAATGGGATTCTCACTTTTAAATAATCCAAAGGATTATTTTATTTCTCTTCTCCATTTAAGAGATTTTCAAGGTAATTTTGACTTTAAAGATTGCCTTTAACCCAGATATCAGTGGCTCCAGGCGCTTCTTCCTTTTTTTTCTCCTCATTCTGGTGGGTGGTCCAGGCTTGGCGTGGCACGTCATGAGGTCAGGACCCAGGCTCCTTCCATCTTGTTGCTCTGCCATTTGTGGCCTCCATCCCAAGACTGGCCTTGAGTTCTAGAGCGGCTGCTTCAGCTCCGGCCATCACATCTGCCTTCCTTCCAGCAGGAAGAAGGAAGGGGAGGAAGGGCATGTATCTCCCTCTTAAGAACACTGGCAAGTTGCACACACATCCCACTGGCATCCCACTCATCTCCTCGCCCGGCCAGGGAGGCCCGGGGGCAATGGTCTTTGTTCTGGGCCCCGCTGAAATGGGGGCCCCTGGTACTTAACAGTATGGGGCCACAGATATTGGAAGACACCTAGCTGTCCCTCCCATTGAGGGGCTCAGGTGTTCGTCCATGGAAGGAGCCGAGGGCCTCCTCTGTGGCCATTAGGTGTGGGCATTCGTGGGCCTATTTATTGATAGGTCTGCGTTCCAGGGCAGTCTCCATGCTCTCAGGGCCTGTCGCCAGGGGGGAAGGCAAAAGGGGAGAGAAAGGGAGACAGGGACACCGGGGTCCCCTTACCCGCCTGGGAAGGGCCTCACAGGCCATAGGAAATCCCAGATGGCACCACTGACTGCTGGATCCCGAACCTCCCTTTGCCCCGAAAGGCAGGCTCGTTTTCTATGGCTTGTATTTTTCTAGAAACTGCTAAGAACTCTCCGCCCAAACCAGATGATAATAACACGTTACTGATCTGAGTCTTTAGGCTTCTCCCTCACGCTCTTTGTGAAGAGAGATATTTTTACCGCACACTGTGTTGTCGAACCCAGTCTCCTTCCTCCCAGGCAGCCTGGGTGTTATCTGCATTTCCCTGTGCATTCAGAAGGCACCCAATGTGGGAAGTGACATGTCTTTGGTCAAGGGCAAAGGTCAGAGAACTGGAGATGGCCAGAGAGGATCGCACAAGGTCCCAGGAGGCGGAGGAGGAGGGAGAGAAACCCAGACCAAGCAAAGCTGCTGCGTTGAAGGCTCTGTTCGCTGCCCTTCAAGACAGAGCTTGGCCACCCATGCCCCAGGGTCGGGCAAACCTGGAGCTCTGGTCCTGGCACCCCCACCTTCTAGCCACTACTCCTCTGAGCCTCAGTTGTGGGGTTGCTGTTCAATGAGGTCATGGCTGACGGTGCTAGCAGAGCACTGAGCACGCAGCATGTGCTCATTAAATGGGAGCTGGTTATATCGCCATCATAGGACCTCCAGCTGTCCCTCTCTCTGGTGAGCAGTCCCATTTATCCGGCCGTCATTCACCAAATGCTTTTTGTGCCTCCTTAACCCCAGGCCACACGTGGGGGCCTGCCCAGGGAAGGGGGAGCAGGAGAAAGGCCCCTCACTGGTTCCTGGTTCCGCTTCCCACTCTGGCTGCAGAAGAGGCCACATTGCCCAGTCCAGGGCTTGCCCGGTGGTTCAGTTGAGTCCCGGGCCCTCCCATCCCCAGCTCTCCGCAGGAAGGATAGGCAGGCAGACAGGCAGGTGGTGCTGAGTCAGGGAGTGGGGCAGGCCCGGAGTGAGCCGTGGTAGGAACCTGAGATGTTTCCTGGAGGATTTCACCCCAGGAGGGATGGGGGTTGGGAAAGGTGTCCTGGGGCTAGAGGTGGGCAAGGGAGAGGGGCGTGGCCGGCACTGGCTGCTCGGGCCCCTTCCTTCCCACCAATGCTTTTCAGAAAGCCCAACAAATACACTGGGATGAACTCACATCTAACTTTTGCTTTTATAATCACATGATTTCCAAGAATAATTTCACTTCTAAAATTATTTGCCTACAAGAAATCCATTTAATTACAATTGGCCACCAATTCTTCACCGAGTGTCCGGGAGTCTCAGGAATTCTCTCCAAGTGGGGCGACTTTGCCTGTAAATTTGTTTCAAATAATAAAGTGTGATGCAATTTTTAATTATTTAATTAAAATTTCCATTTAATGCAATTTTAAATGGAACAATTAGTGAACTTGACATGTTAGGTTTTCTAGGCTTTTAGTTAAATACATATGGATTCCAAGTTTGCGATGCTCCCCCGCCCCTAAATTTTGCAACTCAAACATGTTCAAAGGCACCTGGAAGCCAGAGGTGCTAGGACTGCCATGTCCCGAAGGGAAAAGAAGGAAATGGGGAGACACATCATCAGAGGAGGAGCCCCCTCGGCTGTGGCTGGGTGAGGGCGGGAGGCGGTTTCAGAGGGGCAGGATTTGAACCTGGAGCAGGCAGCCACGGCGCCAGCCCAATGGCCCCATGCTCCGTGGCTCCGCCGGCCACCCCTGTGAAGAGCAGACAGGAGAAGCCGAACACCGTGGATCTAAAACAATCCGATTTTAAACTTGTTCACTCAATCAAGTTAGATGCTGTTAGAGACAAATTTAATTACTCCAAGCTCAATGAAAGCCTTTTAATAAGCTGAACACCATGATTTCAACCTCAGCCTGCAGGGCAAGGCAAGGAGGGAGCACAGAGGGGAGGGGGGAGCTGGGGGAGGGGGGCTGGGAGGAAATGTGGGGAAGGGGCACAGGGTCCCAGCAGGCACACGCACACGCTCACGCACGCACACAGACAGAGTTGTGCACACGCAGATGGGCATTTGTTTTGGAAGTGTATTTGCACATTTAAACCCATCATTTGTTCCAAAGCGTCTGATTGTGAGGCTTTTTATAATATTTTGTCTTATTTTTAGAAGCAGCGCTTTTTCTCGGGGACAACTGTACAGAGTGCGAAAGGAAACGCCAGCCGCTTGGCAGACGCCCTGTGT